TAAATTGAATAAAAGGCATGCTAAGTGGGTTGAATTTTTAGAGTCTTTTCCTTATGTCATTCAATATAAAAAGGGTAAAGACAATGTTGTAGAAAATGCCTTGTCCTCCAGGTATGCACTTCTGAATTATTTGGACTCTCATTTGATTGGTTTTTCTTATATTAAAGATTTATATGCCACTGACTCTGATTTTGGAGAAATATATATGTCATGTGAAAAATGTGCAGATGAGAAGTTTAATCGACTTGATGGATATATTTTCAAAGAATGAAGAATCTGCATTCCTCAAGGGTCAATTCGAGAAGTCCTTGTTCGAGAAGCATATGAAGGTGGACTTATGGGACATTCTGGAGTTACAAAGACGTTGTACATTCTGAATGAGCATCTATCATGGCCTAAAATGTGCAGGGACGTTGAAAGAATATGTGAACGTTGTGTAACATGTAAGAAAGCAAAATCGAAGGTTCTACCACACTGTATGTATTTGCCTTTACCTATTCCTGATTCTCCTTGGCTGGATATTTCGATGGATTTTTTGTTCGGATTGCCTAGAACTAGGACAGGTAGAGATAGTATCTTTGTTGTGGTTGACAGGTTTTCAAAGGTGGCACATTTCATTGTGTGTCATAAAACTGATGATATTACTAATGTGGCCAACTTATTTTTCAAGGAGATTGTTCGTTTACATGGAATTCCTAGGTCTATTGTTTCTGACAGGGATGTTAAGTTTTTGAGTCATTTATGGAGGACTCTTTGGTGCAAGTTGGGAACGAAACTGATGTTTTCCACTACTTGTCATCCTCAAATTGATGGATAAACTAAGGTTGTAAATCGAGTTTTATCTACTGTATTACGTTCCATCATTAAAAAGAACATTAAGACATGGGAAGATTGTTTGTCGTATGTTGAGTTTGCCTATAACCACTTTGTTCATTCTGCAACTAAATTTTCACCATTTGAGATTGTTTATGGCTTTAATCCTTTAACTCGTATGGATTTGTTGCCATTGCCTCAAGAACAGGTTATGAATAGGGACGAAAAGTCTAAGGCAGACTATGTGAAAATGTTGCATCAACATGTTAAGGAGAATCTACAGCGAAGGAATCAACAGTACGAGAAGTAAGAAAATAAAGGTCCAAAGCAAGTTACCTTTGATGTTGGAGATTGAGTTTGGGTTCATTTCCGAAAGGAACGTTTTCCAGCCCAACGATGTTCTAAGTTGTTACCACGAGGAGATGGTCTATTTCAAGTGTTGGAGAAAGTGAATGATAATGCTTACAAGTTGGACTTACCGGGTGAATTCAATGTAAGTGCTATATTTAACGTTTCTGATTTATCCCCTTACGATATTTCTATAGATTTGAGGTTAAATCATTTCAAGAAGGGGGGATGATGTGAGCACATCAACGCCAGCAAAGGAAGCTGATCTGGAGGTCTTACCAACAGGACCTATCATACGTTCTAAGGTAAATCATTTCATGGAAGCTCTTTCTCTTAAGTGATTACAAGTTTCTGAATCATTCCATAATGTTTATGCCTTAGAAACTAAGCTTTTCAATGTGTTACATACTGATGTGTAACATCACCTTAGTTATACTAAGTAGTTATATGCATTTGCATTAGTTTCATTAGGTATATAAGTGTGTGCATTATATATATATTACTTATTTATGTTTTTAATAAGTTTTATAGCTCCTAAGTGTGTTTGCATGGTATTTTCAGCTTATTAGTAAGTTTATAATAAGTTTGTCATACTTTGATGGATGTTATTATGTTGTTCATATAGGAATAATAAAGGGCAACAACTTAAGGTCTTAATCCTAGATTGTTTGAACCTCAAGGGAGTGTTCTCAGCTCAAATTAACTCATTACACTTTCAACTAGCTGAATTAAGCTCACCTTAGCTTCGTTCAGCTCGATTTCAGCTCCACTAGCTCAATTCAAGCTAACAAGTCCAGAAGCAGCTCAAAGGTGTCCTACGTGTGGGAGAGTGTCCTACAAGCATGTGAGCAACATTTGGGGCGTTATATACCTATCGAAGAGTGCATGGCATGCGTGACATTGTGCACATGTGTGGAAATTCATCATTGGGTAGATTTGAATTCAAACTGAAAGCACATGTGAAATTGTTTGAATTCTCAACCCTTACCTCCATACATGGCCGGTTTTTAACCCCCTTATCCACTCATTTAACACATGCAAAATGCATTAAATGCATTCAAAATCAGCCACACAAATGGACATCAACTCAAGGGAGTTACATGGTGGTTTTTCATTTGAGTTTTAAATTCAAAATCTGATTGTTTTGTAGCCACAAGTGATGGCCAGCCATATCTCTCCTTCATCTATATATTTTGTAATTTGTAAGTACAAAGGTTAGACATTTTATGAATAAAAATTATTGTGAGGTTTTTCTCTCAATGTTAGTTCTTCTTAGAACTATTTTCTTTACATTTCAAGTCTGATCTTGTTGTGTCAAACTTGTAAGACTTCAGGTTCAAAGATTGCTATCTAACGGGTCCAAGTCCTTTGAACATTGAACGTATAAGGTTCGGGTTTATACTTTTTACTATAGGTTCTTCCTTGTTCTTTGTTTGTTAACCAAATTTCCAGACTTGTTCTTTCACCATTGTCATCTTCACCAAGCATTCATCTTCCACCTTTCACCCTTCTAAATTTACAGCAACCTAATTCCTTCTTTTCTTCATCCTTTCTTCATCATTTCTTATTCATTTTTGTTCTTAACCTTAAGCATACAACCAACAATATCTTTCTTAGTTTTAGTAAGTTTACTGCAACAGAATTGCTTACTTCCTTCTAGATCCATTACAATGAAAGCGGTCATCGTTCAATAGGTTTCCTCGTATCACTTTCCTTTGTAGACGAGAGGTTAGATGAACTTGATTGCCTCATAATTCGTTGCTCACCCTCTGCCTCCAAATTTAGTTGGTAAGCAACATTGTTAACCCAAGCGTTAACCGTTAGTCGGTTATTCAATTGTCACTCAATTGGTTTCTTACTCTTGCTACTCCTTATATTGCTTTTCTTCCCTTTCTTAACCAAGTTCTCCCGGTTTTTGGAAATTCTAACTCATTGTGAACTCTTTACCCCCATATTCGCCCCCTTATTGATAAAGTAGTGTGTTTCCCATTCCTGACCTTATTTCATGTTCAACAACGCCCACATGTTATCCATCCACCATCGAGACCATTTCAACATGGTCACTTACCTTTTTAGACACTTTATTTTTCTTGTCAGGGTACGATTCCATATAGACAACTGTACGATTAACCAATCATTTTTGAACTCCTTGGCCCTTATGACTTGGTTGTCCCATTTTCTTGTCTTCCTCTGGAACATATTCCTCTCTCATCTTGTCAACATAGTTATTTTCTTCCCTAACTCCCTCACTTATAGCTTCCGTTCCTTCCAAGATAGCAAAACGAGAACCTGATCTACCACTACCAATGCCTCAATTTCCATTCTTTTGCTTGGTCTGTTCCGAACTCATTTTTCGGTGAGTATCAACCACCATCCAAAGACCATATGATCTTTGTTTCGTCTCAGGGTTAACATTAGGAGCCCCATAATTAACTTCCTCATTACCCTAAGAAAAAAAGATAAATAAAAACAAAACGTGCCAAAAAAATAGAGTAAAATGTGTCATAAAAATAGAGTTATTAAAAAATAAACGAGACAAAAAAAAAATAAAATATAATATAAAAAATAGATGAAAAAAATATTAACGACGATGACCAATACTAAAGTCGGTGCCGCCACTCACAACCAAAATTAGAGTAAGCGGCGAAAAATTTTAGGGTTGAGATAAAGGGTTACAATACTTTCTTAATAGTTATTGTGATATATAGATAAATGTACATATATAATATTAAAGTTATCATAATATTTTTGTGTAATATTGGTATTTTAATTAAATGATTTTATTAATTTAATTATATTTCATTGTAATATTAACTTCATCTAACGTTTGACTATATATATATATATTAAGTACTTGAACTACTTAATGGGTTAAAATAACCTCGGATTAGATGAAAACGTTTAATGCTCATCGTTAACATGTCAAGTCTTACGTGTCCAAAATATTGATGTTGATATTGTCACGTGTGTAAAGTATGATGTAATATTGTCACGTCATCATTTTTGACATATAATATTTATCACATCAACGACATGTGTTAACCTTTGTTGATTATATATGTAATTATTTGAATCAATTTGATATGTTTATCATATTGATACAGAGTAATGTATGCCAATGAGTGTTGGTACAAATGGTTAGGATTTAAAAATATGAGCTTGTAAAGTTAAGTTTAAATCCTATTACTGTCACTCTTAGTGGACAATCTGTAAATTCTTATGTAAATCTTAAGGTATGCCCTGGTCTTGGATTGGGAAACCAATTATGACCTAAACTTTTATTTACCAAAGGAAAATATAGAGTAATGTATTAATTAATATATATTTGACTATTAATCTTTTTATATATAAATCAAATAATTAAATATTATGAATTTATTTGAAATTTGACATATCATCTATAACAATAAAACATAAAACATGACAATCCGATTACTAAAATATTAATACCTAGTGTTATTATGCAACTGATTTTAAAAATTATTTGATGGTTTTTAGTGATTTATGTAACTTAATTTTTGTGATTCGAATTAAAACAATAATTTTTTAGGATTGGGACAAGTTTAGGGTTTGATTGTTGCTCCATCTTTAAAAAACTTGATTCGAATATAAATTTTCAAAAAACAAAATCAACTGAACAAAAGTGAAAACCCACATAGCACATATTCGTAGCCCAAAAACAAACCAAAAATAAAATAAACCCTAGATTCGGAGGAACACACTAATAAGGACTCAATTGAACAAATGATAACAATTAAAACCAATTTCATATTGTTACTACTAATGAATGCAGGCGACACTATAAAATGCCTTAAACCCTAATTGCCTGCCACTTCCCATTCCCTAAAGCCCCCAGAAGCCACCGAACAACTTGAACCCAATCCAAAGTCACCGCCATTTTTCAGTTAATTTGATTGTTTCGAACCAACGAAAAAGGTGGGTTTTTGGAGCCTTTGATTCAATGGCTCTTTACTTATTGTACGAGTCATCTTCTGGGTACGCGCTATTCCAGGCTCAGGGACTCGATGAAATCGGTCAAAACACGGAGGCTGTTAGGAACTCGGTTGCCGATCTGAACCGGTTCGGTAAGGTGGTTCAACTCACTGCTTTTCAGCCTTTTGAATCCGCCATTGATGGTCTCAACCAATGCAACTCTGTTTCTGAAGGTATTAAATTGGATTTCGCCTTTAGTTTGTTTTTCAAGCTTCTGGGTTTAGTTTTGTTTTGCCTTCTAGTAATTTTCTTCAATCTATGTTTTCGGCATGGATTTTTGCTAGTAATACAAGTTTTTACAGTTTAAGTAAATTTTTTTGGTAAATTATTATGTTTATCTGTTGTTTCGATTTGGTATTCGCTTGAAATAAAATGTTCCGCCATTTTTGTATGGTTGTCTAGGTGATTTTTCCTTCTAAAATACTAGCTAAACAAAGACACATCGATAATGTTTTCCATTTCATATGATGTTGCTTATTGCTTAAGGTAGGTTAACAATTGGATTATGTCTGATTTCATTGTTGGTGTCTGCTAATTACTTTTTGTATGCAAGTATATTTACTTTGTGGTTTAATTTGGGGTTGCTTGAAATAAAGGATTCTGCCATTTTTGTGTGGTTGGTCTGGGGAATTATCCTTTCAGAATACTAACTACTGGAAGACGCACATAATATGATGTTGCTTGCTGTGTAAGTTGGGTTAACCATTGGTTTATATCTGGTTTCATTGATAGGTCTTATGACTGATGAATTAAGGAACTTTTTAGAGCTTAATCTCCCCAAAGTCAAGGAAGGCAAGAAATCAAAGTTCAGCCTCGGAGTTGCAGAGCCTAAGCTGGGTTCCCACATCTCAGAAACGACTAAAATTACATGCCAGAGTGGAGAGTTTGTTCTCGAGCTTCTTCGTGGTGTGCGGTTGCATTTCGATAAATTCATCAAGGACTTGAAGGTATGTGTATAGTCTTTATGTTTCACCTTTATTTTTTTCTTTCAATAAGAAGGCTACAAGCATGTGTTTTTCTTAAAACTTTGTAGCCTGGGGACTTAGAAAAAGCGCAGCTTGGTCTGGCACACAGTTACAGTAGAGCAAAGGTTAAGTTCAATGTTAATCGAGTGGACAATATGGTTATTCAAGCAATTTTCCTTCTTGATACTCTTGATAAGGATATCAATTCATTTTCCATGAGAGTGAGGTTTGTTATAAACTAGCATTATTTTAGTTTAATTTGTAACCATAACTAGTATGGGCATGGATATTATGTAATGGATATCCTCTGAATGATGACTTCCTACAGGGAATGGTACTCATGGCACTTTCCGGAGTTGGTAAAGATTGTCAATGACAATTATCTCTATGCAAGAGTTGCAAAGCTTATAGAGGATAAGTCAAAGTTGTCTGAAGAACACATCCCTGCCTTAACCGAAATACTGGGGGATGAGGACAAAGCAAAAGAAATTGTTGAAGCTGGAAAGGCATCAATGGGTAGATATCTTGTATTTATACCACAATTCAACCTTATTTTCTCATGCCCCCATTTATTAACTCTTTTTATCCTTTGCAGGACAGGATTTGACTCCAGTTGATTTGATTAATGTTCAGCTATTTGCTCAAAGGGTAATGGATCTTGCCGAGTACAGAAAGAATCTTTATGATTATTTAGTGACAAAGATGAATGACATTGCACCAAATTTGGCATCATTGATCGGGGAAGTTGTTGGGGCACGGTTGATCTCTCATGCTGGTAGTCTCACAAATTTTAGCGAAGTGCCCCTCTTCCACTCTTCAGATTCTCGGTGCTGAGAAGGCCCTTTTCAGGTATTTTACTTCTCACCTTGTCTTCTTACGACTGTGTGGAGTCATAAAATGTGTGAACAACCAGAGTTCTTGATAAAATTATCTCCCTCGTTGAGCTGTGCCATTCAGGTCTTGCTTTCAAGATCTTGAGTAATCATCCTAGTCCACTATTTAATTTCTTTTCCGATATTTTTATAACCGTACTTATAAGGCATTGGTCTCACCCATTTGCTTGCTGCTGGTGGCTTCAGGGCACTGAAAACACGAGGAAATACACCCAAGTATGGTCTTATTTTCCATTCATCTTTCATTGGTCGAGCATCTGCTAAAAACAAGGGTCGAATGGCCCGCTATCTTGCAAACAAATGTTCCATTGCATCTCGAATTGATTGCTTTGCAGGTAATTTTCATTTTTGTTTGCATATATGCTGTTAGTTTTCCCATAAGTTGATCAATTCTCTTGTTGCAGAGAGGGGATCCACTGTTTTCGGGGAGAAACTACGAGAACAAGTCGAGGAACGACTTGAATTCTATGACAAAGGTGTTGCACCTCGAAAAAACATTGATGTTATGAAGTCTGCAATTGAAAGTACTCAAAACAAAGGTACAGGGAGCTGCCAATCCCATTTTTTTTTGTACAATTTTGAATGTAATTTTTTCCTATTTTAAGATGTTTGGTAGAACTAAGGCGGTAACACGATATCTTGCACCCGAGCCCTTGGAGAATTTGATGTCAGTTGATCTCAGCTCCTACTGAAAGTGGATTATTTAACCGAGTTAGTCGATCGGCTTTGGCAAGTACGATTTCTATTTAAAATTCTTATCTATCATCATGTTTAATGCACAGATGTGGAAATGGAAGAAGCCCCACCTTTTGAAGCTTCCGCAAAGAAAAGCAAGAAAAAGAAGTCGAAACCCGAAGATGCCCCAGTTGCTGCTACAAATGGAGATGCTTCAGAGGATGCTAAATCAGAGAAGAAAAAGAAAAAAGAGAAGAGAAAGATAGAGGAAGATCATTATCTCACACCGGAGAAGACAAACACTGAGCAAGACGGAACGGCCAAGAAGAAGAAAAAGAAGAGCAAAGATGAAGGGACTGCTGCAAGTGAAACTAAAAAGAAAAAGAAGTCCAAGGAATGAATTCATCACTGGTGTGCTCAATTTTTTGTAATGGCATACTAAAATAGTGTTTTTCTAAGTGGTGTTTTTTTTTCTTCACAAATGAACAGCTTTAGGTGCCTTTGGAATTTGGCATTTGTTGAACTTCCTCAGTATTGAAAGTGAGATTCTTGTCTTTTGCTCGGTTTTCAGATTCACGCGAATGTCGAAATGTTTTTCATGAACATATGTATAAGAATCTCTGTCACTTACCACATTGTTCATTGTGTTATGCAAATTCAATTATTTAGTTGGTTTAATTATACATAATGGAAAGAAATTGCGTTGGACTAAATAGTTGCTTATATTCTTATTCTTTTTTTAAGTTATTTTTATCTTTACTGTTTTATTTTGAATTAAAAAGATTTTTTAACGAAAATAGTTAATTAACAAACGATTAATATCCTAAAATAATGTTTTTTATCTTAAAATAAAAATGTTAAAAGTTAAAATGCTTTAGATAAAAAGAATAAGTGCTAAAATGACTATTTAGTCAAATGTTAATTTTACCTTAAAATAAAATGTGTAGAATATAATGCTAAAAAAGGATTAACATAATTATTTAGTCAAATGTTCAAGACTTTTTTGATGTTATACCTTTTAAGTATTTATGTTTGTCACATATATAAACATGAGTAAAAATATATTTATGTTGAACACATATATCTTAAAAATTTAGGAACTAATTTAAAATAAAAATCATAATTTAAAATAATATTAAAATATTAAAAAATATAAACAAGAATATATAACTTAATAGAGAATCAAATTCAATTATTTGAGAGAGAAAAGGATATTGATAACAATCAATATGTCATCGTCAACGTAACATAACGTTAACAACATATCTCAATTAGTGTTTGTTTTATCTTTTATTCTTTTATTCTCTTACTTGTGTTTAATTTGTTTATTTTAAATTCTATAAATACTAAATTCGAGTTTATTAAAAACATAAAACCCTTCGACATAAACATGATCAAATCATATTTAAAAAATGTATCTATCTATATTACTTAAATTTAGGAATAAATTAAAGATATGTACGAATTAAGTGACATCGATGATAAATGAATTTTGTTATTTTTTAAGGTCTCAGGTTCAAGTACGCTATGGGTATAAGCATGTCAAATAATTGTGAGTCATCTTTAGAAGAGATATTATCTTGTACTTACCTCATATTATTTAAAATAAATATTTTTTTTTAAATTTCAATTTCATCTCTAAATTATGACCCTTATTCTAAATTGGTCCCTAAAGTTTTGAATCTTTCAATTTCATCCCCAAAGTCATCGAAATATAAATTAGTTTCAAGCATATTTCAACCTAAATTTTATTTTTTTCAAATATATAATAATATAACTTGACCTAACAATTTTATTAATAAATGATGTGAGTAATATATAAGTATTGTTTGGAATGAAATGAAAATGTGTCTAAAAGTTTGGGGATCAATTTATAACGAAGATCATAGTTTGAGGAAGAAAATGAAATATTCAAAAGTTTGAAGATTAATTTAGAATGATAGTCATAGTTTAGAGATGAAATTGAAATATTTAAAACTTTAGGGACTAATTTATAATAAAAATCATAATTTGAGAATATATGATACAATTAACTCTTCTCTTTTAAACATGTTTAAAGGTTTGTGTAACACCCTAATCTAGTTTAACCCGAATATCAGTGAATCATGATGTCACAGGGACCACCATAGTCACTCACCCAAAAATTTTCTGTAAAACAATTGTAAAATACTATATAAAATCCATCCCAAGTAAAATAAAACAAAACGTGATAATTCAAAGTTTACAAAATATAGGGAGCTCCCAAATCATCCATAATAAATACATTGAGTTTAAAATCAAAATAAAGTTACATTTAAATACAAATAGTCTACAATAGTATATGCCCTCTAAACTAAAGCAAGATGTACTTTGGTACCTCGACTATGTTGGGATATTTGGTGACAATAACGCTCCTCGAACAACCTCCTAAGAACTTGCGCATGGAAACACATTTTGAACATTGAGCTTGCAAGCTCAGTGCCTCACTAATAAATGTACTATACTACATGCATTCACTAAATGCGCATGCTAGTGGCACATGTATGAAACATGGGAATACTAATTTAACATGCTGAGGTAGGCATCATGGTGTAGCTAAAGGTTCTGCATCTCGGAGCTCACACACCCCTCTGGCTTTCCTAAATATCCTTGCGTATTTGGGTAAGATTCGGAGCTACATTGGAAACGTACACCCGCCAAGTTACTCTGTCGAGTCTTGGGGCATATGCGCCCAGTCGACTACTAAAGTGCCTTGGCACTGACCGAATATCCGAATTGCACGATCATATATACTAGAGAAACTCGGGTGTCCTAACTGTAACCCGAGCGTCAAACAATGCTAATTTTATATCATCCTAATTGTTATTTTCTCTTGTTGTTATGAGATTATTATTATTCTTACTTGTAGTTTTATTTCATGGTAATCTGGTGTTATTGAGTGCTTCAAAGTCTACCCCTTAAAAGTCTTGGGTTTTTTATCCAAATTGTTTGTGGGTACCAGTACTAAGTCCTCGGTATCGATATTGACCTCTGGGTATCGATGCTAACCTCTGGATATCAATACTACTGACTTATTGAAGGCTAATAACAAAGGGATGGTATTGATACTCTGGTTTGAGTATCGATACTTGCCTAAGTATCGATACCAAATTTGGCTTTGATGTTTTAAAAAATATCTAAGTATCGATTTTTTGGGAGTATCAGTACTCTACCCTTGGGTTTCTCGATACTCTTAGGAGTATTAATACAAAAAATAACCACTGAAGTCTACTAAGTGAACTCAGTATCGATACCACCCTGCGAGTATCGATACCTTACCTACAATATCGATACCCAATGCATAAGTATCAATACTTCTATCCTTAAATCCCTTTTTTTAACACCTGAAGAACAATGTCGGTATTGTTCTTTCAGTACCGATCTTCATGCTCATAAATGCTCTGTTTTGAGCACCAAAATGCCTCTCCAACACTCTCAAACTTCCTACTGAGGTCCCCAAATGTTATTAGAGTGTTATGTCTAACATTAAGGGTCATAATAAGGCCATAACACGCTAAAAACACTAAATATTGAACCTACCATGAACATGCTTCATAACTCATGCAACCTACCAAAACACATCTAATGACCTACACGTGATAGAGTTGAGTAAGAAGTGAGTTACCTTGGATTTTTAGGCTGTTGGAAACTCCCAAAATTCAACCAAACACTAACTTCTCATTTCCTTTAGCCTTGGAGCTTTCTCCAACTTATCTCACTAGACAAGAATTAAACACAAGGATTGCTAACGTTGTTGGGGAGTTTAGAAAGGAGTTTAGAACATTTCTTGAGGCTTGAATCCCTTCAAAAAACGAGCTGGTATCTCTAGGTTTTTGAAACCCCCACTAAACCCATATTTGGTATCCTTAACCAAAACTTGTTATAGATAGTTTGAATTGAAGCTTAGAATGAGGAGATCGAAGCTCTTACGTTGTTGTTGTTAGTAGAGGTTTGAAATACTACAAAGTTTGCACATTTTCACAAGAGTCTAAGGAAGCAATGGAGTTTGAATTGGGAGGAAGAAGACAAAAGGAATGGTGAAATGAGATATGAAAGGGGTGTTTCAGACGTGAAGTCATCACCCTTAATGGGAAATTAGCCTTTGAAATAAAAAGATCAAACTACTTTTTTGGTCCTCCTTATTTTGATTACAATTTTAAAACACCATTTTTCATCACATGTTGGGCCAAAGCAAAATCCAACTAAAGGTTAACTTGGTCCAAGTCTTATTACAATGCTTATAGATTTGTCTAAACCCACTCGGGTTGACATGAAACTACTAACTTGAGATTCGAGGTGTTACAGTTTGAGTTTGAGTTTAATAGTCTAATATAAGTTTCTTTCGAATAATCTTTCATTATTATTTTGAATCTTAATTTTTTTACAGGAAGATGATTAAAATTATAATTTTTAAAATTATTTGTGAACTTAATTTAATTTTAAGTATTTTCTTAAAAATATATATCTTTAATGTTAAACTCTTTAAACGTTTTTAATAATAAAAGAGTGTTTCTTCTTCTTATAGCTCCCGAATTTAAGTATGCAAAATTTATGTATATTATTAATAACTAAGTAATAATCTAAAAAATTATTATCTTGTAATCCTATCATATTATTTAATATATATATATATATAAAATGTTTCGTAGCACATGTTATTCGACACTAAACAACGTTAAGGCTATGCTGATATTAATTATTTGGATTATGTTTGCAAACTACTACAACATTAAAGGTAATGTAAAAATAAAATTATTAGTATTGATTATTACAAATAATAATAATAAAGAAAGTAAAACTAATATAAGTAATGTATCGTACAATTTATTATTTTAAAAATAAATCCTTTTCAAATTGACAAAATCATAAAAATAAATATCATCCTTAAAAATTAAAACAATTTTTCAGATTTTATATATTTAAAATAAATTTTAGGGTAAAGTATAAAAATGGTCTCCCGATTATAGGGTATTACTTTGTTAAGTTCCTCGACTATTAAAAGTTGCAAAATAGTCATTCGACTATAGAGTGTTGCTTTGTTGAATCATTCGACTATTAAAAGCTACCAAAAGGTCACCCAACTATTATCATGTTCCAAACACGTCATTTTTTCGTTAAAAATGATGATATTCTTAATTAAATGTTAACCTGTCGATTGTGATATAATAAAATATAATCCTAAAATTTCAAACAACTCATATCTCATCCATCATATTAACGTCCAACTTAGGTACCACCAATTTTTAACGGAAAAAGACGAGCTTGGAACATAATAAATAGTCTGGTGACCATTTTGTAACTTTTAATAGTTGAGGGACTTAACAAAGTAACATTCTATAGCCGAAGGATTATTTTGTAACTTTTAGTAGTTAAAAGACTTAATACAGTAATATCCTATAATTAGGGACTATTTATGTACTTTATCCTAAATTTTAAGATAAATTATTTTACTAAACATTGATAATTTCATAACCACATTATTTTGCAAGACAAAATCCAAATCAAACACAAAGTTGATGGGGCCTTGTGACGAATCCTTCGAAAATAAAAGAGA